CGGGCGCGCACCAAGAATTCGAGGCCCATCCACCTCTGCAGCAGTGGCTCAGCTGCTCCGGGGCAGGACCACAAGGTGGGCAGCAGCTGTGCCCCAGGAGCAGCAGGGCAGCCACCCAGCAGCCCTGGCCCTAACTCCGGAGCTGCGGGTTGCATGGCAACCCTAGCTGGGGCCAGAGCCAAAGCGTGTGTTGAGAGCAGCTCGCAGCTGCTCCGGTGGTGAAGGTGCTGGGCAGGATGGCAGTGTGGTGCCAGGTGCCCGGTGCCCAGGCCGGCCAAGGATGGGCCAGGCCCCATTGCTAGGTAGGAGCAGGAGCTGGGTGCAGACACCCAAGCAGCTATGCAGCCTTCTCCCCTCACACTGGTGTCGACTTCCTGCCACCTCTCAGGCTCTGCCATAGGCCAGACTGGAACAGGGTGTGCCCAGGTGAATGCCAGCTGGGCAGATTGCCCACCCCTCGGACTGGATCGAGGGAGTCCCAGCAGCAACCCAGCCCAGGGCAGGGGGTGAGCAGGGGAAGGAGGGGGAGGCAAGGAAGAGGGGGTTGGCCCCCTTGGGCAGGGCACCACCCAACCAAGCTGGAGGCTCCGGGCAGCATGGACAGGGCAGCTCTGCTCCATTTCTGCACTGAGCTGCAAGGGGACCAGGTTAGGTAAAATATCCTACAGATCCCCCAGCCTAGCAGCTGGCAAGTCTCATTTGTTGTGGTATTAAAAAAAATCCATCCTGCGGGGACAGGGCTGCCTAAAGCCTCCTGGCAATTGACAGATGTGGGTCTGCTGTTTTTCAAGGAAAGCCACACTAAGGTCTCCTTAACTCACTTCTTCACAGGATGCTTTTATTAGAGACAGACAATCACAAGAATTAAAAGATACTGTGTGATGCACCCTAAGGAAGAAAGATGTCTGCAACAAATGAAGTAGTAAAGTAGTGTTTCAATGTTTGCAGGATAAGGAATTACTTACACAAGCAAGAATCTGAGACAAATTTTCAATTATTGTGTGTGTGTGGGGGGGAGGGATGTTACTAGAATTCCAAAATGGTCTTGAATATTATAGAAATATACTTGTATACGGATTCTTTGGGAGAGGGAACCGTGCACATGCATGTAGCTAGTGTACCCTAAAGACTCAGGGGAAAAAAAAGCATGAACCACCCAAAAGGTATTTATTTAATTTCATGACTTTAAGGTGCATCACACATTATCTTTTAATTCTTGTGGTTGTCTGTCTTGGCTGTGTATGTTTAGTAAAAATTATAGTAGAAATTTGCCTTTGCAACGTATTCCGTAGACGATATCATACTATTCTTAGGTCAGATTTTTAAGTAACAAGTGGGATTATCAAAAGCATCTAGGTGCTCTTAAGATAAGAAAAATATTAACAGATTTTTTGGACTTTTTTTGTTTTTAAATCCGGTGTTACTAATTAATACATGGTAAATAATTAATACATGGTAAATACATGTAAGGCCAGATCTTTGCTATGTGGTAAAGTTCTGGCTCTTAAGAGTTAGAAGTAGCAAGCGATGCTGGTTTGTAGGATGAAACCTTATCTGCAAGCTCTCTGAGAAACATCTGTCTGTTAGAAAGGATGATGATACATGCACTGCAAGGTCTCAGAGGGGCAGCCCTGTTAGTCTGTAACTAAAAAAAACAAACCTAAAAACAACAATGGCCCTGTAGTATCTTAGAGACTAACAAAAATACATCTATAGTGTCATGAGCATTCCTGGGCACCGACCACTTCTTCAACCATGGGTAGTGTTAATTTTCTGTTTATTTGACTTCATATTAAGTAATCACAAGCACTTCTCCTTGTTAATTACCCCTTGCTTTCATATATTTCCATCCATACCTATGGACTACTTAAAATATATCTTTATATCTAGGGTTTGTTTCTCTACAGGTGGGTGCACATCCATACACTACCTCAATACTGGTGTTGCGCATAAGAAATTTCAACCTGCCCAAAAGAAAATTCAACCCGCCCAAGGATGGAAAATTGAAAGCAGTGGTCACCAACCAGTCAATCGGGATCTACTGGTCGATCTTGGAGCCTCTGACAGGGGATCCTGACAGATTTGGCCAACAGGTTATCAATCCCAGCACTTCAGCTGCCTTTCCCCTCCCCCAGCTGCTGCACATCTCCTGCCCTTTGCCTTGGAGCTGTCCCCTCAGGAGAGTCTGCTTGCTGTGAGGGGCAGGGAAGGAAGAAGGGGCGGTGATGTCAAGGTTCTCCCCTCCCACCCTGTATCCTATTTCCACAGCAGAGAGGGGGCACAACAGGACTTGGGAAGGAGTTTGCTGGTTGCCTTTGGGAGCGGTGCAGGGCCAGGACAGGGGTGAGCCTGCCTTCGCCCCGCTGCACCACCATCCAAGAGCCACCTGAGGTAAGCAGTGCCCAGCTGGTGCCCCCATCCCAAAACCCTACCCCAGTCATGAACTCCCTCCTGCACCCCAAGTCCCTGCCCCAGCCCTGAGCACCCCTGCATCCAAACACCCTCCCACAGCCTGCACCTAGAACCCCCTCCAGCACCCTAAATGCCTACCCCACGCTCAGCTCAGAGCCCCTCTCACACTCCAAATCCCTTAATCCAAGACCAGAGCCTGCAACCCAACCCTCTGCCCCAGACTGGTGAAAGGGAGTGAGGGTTGGAGAGGGAGGATGGGATGAGCAGGGATGGGGACCTCACAGGAGGACAAAGGAGGCGGGGCAAAGGTATTTGGGTTTGAGATAGATCTTGGATTGCACTTAACTACAAAAAATGATCTCGTGCTTAAAAAGGTTGGAGACCATTGATCTAAAGGGAACACTCTAGCAGTGAGGCTGGGAACAGCAAGCCCTTTTAAATAGCCAAAGGGCTTGCAGCTCTCATCCCCCACAAAGTTGATGCCTGGGAGCTGCAAGGGAGGCACGTGCCCTTTCAACTCCTGCTATGTAACAGCTCTGCTCCTTCTGTTCAAAGCCCCACCCCTTCTGGTGCTGCCTGTGACCACTTCAAAAGTTGTTGGAAGTGGCCCCCATTCAAAAATTTTTGCCCACCCCTGTGCTACATTCTGATGAATCCTCAAAACCCCACCCCCACAAAGAAGCCCCTACCGCTAACAGAATTTTGACACTTGAAGAAATAAGTCCATGAAGTCCACTTGGGACTTCACTTTCAAGCACTGTAAGGTAGTGTTGCCTAAGGGACAGAGCACTACACGGGGAGCCAGGAGACCTGGTTCTATTCCTGGCTCTGCCACTGGCCTGAGAGACGTTGAGTGCAATGCGAGGCTTCTGTTTTGTCTCAGCTTTTTCCCTGGGGATAATGACATTGATTCTTTTGTGCAGGGCTTCAAGATCTATAGATGAAAAGTGCTAAATAAGAGCTAGTATTATTCCTGCTATTGCTCTTACATAGAAGGTACTCAGATCTGCAGCAGTATAAAATCCTAAAATAGATTATTTTCATCACTAGCTGAGTTATGCAGACTCACTCTGCAAAGACCAATTATATTGTATTTCCTTGGCAGCAGAACTTGTGTTTAGCTCATCAGACTACACAGGTTTTAAAAATCTCTTTTCTTGGAAGGCCATCCAACCTTTATCTGACTTTGGCATCTTATTTTAAAGGAGACATCTAGGTTTGACAAATGGGACTGACTAGAGTCTATACAACATCTAAGAAGTTCAATAAGAAACATCTGCGCTGCAAAGGGTAGACGTAGGTGCTGACCGCCAGTAGAAAAACATCCTGGAACTACAAAGATAATGAGTTTTCATTACATAGCCCTATTTTCTTCACCATATAAAATGCATAGATTTATGAAGGCAGGAGGATGTGTCTTTGGCAATTATTTTAAATTTTATTATGAAATAAAGACCTACATTTAATGAGACAGATACTCAGTAAAAGTTCGCTGCACCACACACAGCACAAATGTTCGTTAATAAAAGTGTGTTCAAGCTTTTAAAAAAACAATTTTGCTAGGGATTCCTTCAACAAAAATTTCTTCAGATCCCTAAAACTGCCCAACAGCTTATAAAAGCCTTTGACTGAAAATTGTGTAGCACACTGCAATCTCATTTCACAGAAGCTGAGATGATAATCTAGGGTTATTACAGATAAACTCTAATTACCCAAATTTCTCAGAGGACACCCAAACTTCCAGATCATTTGAGTTGGTTCTAAATTAACAAAATTCAGATTCTACATGAATGTCTGATTCAAGGGGAGAGAACGAATTTTGGATAATCATAAAATAGCCGTAATTTATGAAGAGCCAAACGTGACAAAAACTCATTCAAATTCCCCTTTTCCAATAAAGTAAGGCTTTGAGAAGGAGGAATTACTAGTAATATTTCTCCTCTACTTCTCCACTTCATCTCGAAAGGCGTGTAATCAACCCAAAATTTTTGGGAAAAAGATTAGAAGAAAAATATAGTATGCTACTATTATACTGTAGAATATCTACACTCCAACGACAGTGCATCATCTGTTAGATTGATTTTTATTAGCTGTCAAAGGAAAACTTGAAAAGAACCTATCCCAGCTAATTCGAATCGGTAAATACTCACATTACCTTAGTTCTTGTTACTTAGAGGCTTATTCACAGTGATAACATTAAAACTTTTAACCCAATTTTGAAGTCTGGGCACATGCATTGGGGAGCCTAATTCTGTGTATATTTCCATTCTGCATCTAAGATGTGTATTCACATGCCCCCGTAGCACCCTGCTTGAATGCTCAGTTGTGGAATTTGGTGTTCTAGTTTAGGTACCCATGGTTGAAAACCTTGGCTATACAACTAGCATTTCCAGCAACACAACTGCCTCTGCAGAGAAGTACAGCATACATCGCAGCCCAGAAAGAATAAGAATTTGCAATAACATTTATTTTATATCTTAAGTGAGTGAACAGATCAATTTGTTAATAAGATGTTTCAGTCATTTGTGAAAGACGAATGCTCAAATAATCAGGAGAAGAAAATTAATTATAATTGTATTTTGTTTAACCTGTGTTTTGATGTTCATTAACGGGTAATTGAAGTTGTTGTCTAAAGTTGCTTCATTTCCTGCTCATCCTCAGACATCCCAGCATACCATGGCGTAGTGACATTACTATCACTGTTGACCAGCACTGGAACAAGAAGTCTGCCTAAAAGAAAAAGATAAGCAAATCTTTCTGAGTGGGTGGTTATACTTTCTGATTCTCTGCCACTAAGCCAATGCTGTTGTGTTTGAATTCATAACAGGACAGGGGAATATGTAATTCACTCCCAAACACCACCTCCTATCATAAATTCCTGCTTTAATTAGTTAACTGATACCTTTTAAAAATTACAGAACTATTTATGTTCATATTAGGTTTTCTAAATTGTTCTCACCGCCTGCCCCCTTTTTGTTTGAACAACATTTTTGGACGTTAAGTAAGTAGCTGGGGCCCCTTAAATTTTTCAAGATCATACTAAGGCCAGAGCGAGTAAAGAAAATTAATGGAGACACTTTGTTAATAGGATGTATCATTGTATCTGATGCCTAATTTAGAACCTTAGGCTCATCTAATTAATCCAATTATATACAGGAATATATCATCCCAATTTACAAACTGCTGTTCCATTTAATAGACAAGATTTCTCATTTCTCTCTAGATGCTGTCTGTCACAGTGAAATCCCCAACCTGGCACTTCGGAGTGTAAGTAATGGGAGCCAGTTAGCAAAATAAAAACACTGTCACATCCCGTCTCTGCAGTCGTTGTCTAAAAAGTTTTCCTGATTTCAGTTTCCCATGAAATCCAACACATTGCCACTACCAAGAATACACATTTTCTTTTCCAGGGAAGAAATCACTTGGAATCTCTTCCCTGAGGGCAACCCCCCCCAAGGGGTTGGAAAACAAACAAGAACATTATTGTGGAGAACAAGGAACCTGTGCTCTGTCTCCAGTAACGTGTCTGCAGCTAGGCACTTAAGTTTAAGGACACAAAAAATCAACCAATATCATTAACAGAAGAAAAGGAAAACATTTTACTATTAAAACAAGACTATTTTGCAAGCACAGTGAATGACCTGGTGTTAAAAAGCCATGAATTGAAACAAAACTCAGGGACTCTCCCTGGGATTAGTTCTTCGTTCCAAGAGAGAAAAAAAAAGACATTTCCAAACCCCAAACAAGGAAAATAATAAACCTGACAGACTGCCTAAACCTTTTCCTACTAACACATTCTGATGAGCTCAGGTGATCTGCTTTGGGGGAGTTCATTTCTTCCCTCTATACCTGGAGAAAAATCTCTCTCCCAAGAGATTGCTTCCCCGCCTCTCCCCTTTGAAATTCTTTAGCTGCATTTCATTGGCTCAATGCCCAAAGCCCCATCCTTCATTTTACATTTAGCTTAACCCTTTCTTCGCTCCTCCAGATAAGTTAGGCTTTCTTTTGCAGCTCCCTTTCATGACACTGTCACTTGGGTCTTTTCAGTTACTGTATGAGCCTGCCTAGATAGTTTTGTTTCATTTTCTAGGGAAGACAACAGAACTAATGCGGTCTCACCTTCTATTGTGTTACATACTCCTCCTTCAGTCTGCGTATTTCATGCAACTGTTAGCACAAATGCGGTTTTCTCAGCTCTTTTCAGATTGGTTTAAATAATTTTACTTCTCAGGCAGACTATTCCTAAGATGCAGTGAAGTTACGTACATGAAAAACTTGGTCTTTGCAGAGACAGAACGTTGTGCATGGCTGAACAACAGCCACCTGAAAGATTAGGAGTAACTTTTCAAATGAGTCCCATGTGGTCAAGGGTTTGTGTGTATTAAGTGAGGAAGACACAGGCAATTGGAGAAGACTTATAATAGTCTGAGAAAGGAAAGCATCCCTAAAACAAGTGAGAGAACATTCTTAAACAGCAAAGGAACCCATGAGATATGATTAGCAGAATGCTACAACTCAGTTTAACACATCAGCAATATTACTGACTGTAAATGTAAAGGCCTACATACATTCTTAGTGAAAGGCAAAAGGGTATTTTGCACACATGCCATCAATTAAATCCATCTGGTTGGACCAAGGCAGAACAGTTTAAAGCAAAGACATACTGTTTAGTTGGATATGAACAGAAGCAGCATCACTGGCAGTAACCTCCCTAGGTGCTGGGATGAAGTCTGCTCATGTGTACTGCCTGTTCTGTATTTGCTGATATTATGATTAACACCAAAAGCCTGCACATAGTCCCCTTCAACAGTTCTTCCTACAAAACTATTTTTCTCACAAGACAGATTGACACACACATTCTTTATGAGTAGCACCAACTTACCCCCACAGTTTTTAACTGAAAATTATAAAGGAGCAGAGCACACTGTGAAAATCATTCTTATGCCACCTGGTTGTAATATTCCAAAGTAACCTATTTTTTGTTTATAAAACACCTGTTGCAGCCCTACTAGGCCTTTCAGGGCATATTTCTGAATTGCCATGCTGTAATTTTAAGGCAGTTTTGGGAATACTGCTGTGTGTTTCAAACAGAACTATAGAGTTCAATTTTGATGTCTTGTCAGACTCTATTGCAACGTCTCTCACCTAGATGCTTGTTAGTGACAACTTTTTAAAAAACAAAATAAACAGCTCTCTGCCAAAACTGCATCCATCACCACAGCATGCCAGTGTCTACCAATGAGCTGCTTTTTTAACAATTAGAAATGCACTATTGAATCTAGCCTTCTGCTTGCACATATCACACTATCACAAGGCAGTCCTCAGTAAATGACCGATTACAAGCAAGTGGAAAAAGACCCATAATACCTGTACATAAAAAAATCCCCAAATATATGCAGGTGAATAGTGGTCCTTCTGTGTTGCAGCTGCAGCTATAAATGTCCTTGCTTCAGCTTGCAGATGGAAAAGGCGATTCTGCACAGATCCTCAACATTTCATTAGCAGTATCTAAAGAGCACAGGTAGAAACACCACCCCTTCCCCTGGGACAACAACCAGGTATGCACATTTGCTGTCTACTGGGCATGGGCCCCCCTGCTGGCACAGCCCTGTGAGCACAGCCAGCCCGGCCTCTTCTCCCTGCCAGAAAGCCCCTGACTTCTGAGTCTGCCACAGTCTGGGGGGACAAGGCCAATGGGAATAGACCCACATGCATCTCTCCCGCATCTCTCCCGCCACGGGGCATGGTCCCCAGCTTGAGTAAAGCAATGGGGAGAATGCACGTCCCCCTCCCCCCATGGGGCACGGCTCCCGGCTGGGGAGGGCTATAGGGGGGGGCCCCCCCCCCCCGGCACGGCTCCCGGCTGGGGCGGGCTATAGGGGGGTGCACTCCCCCCCGGCACGGCTCCCGGCTGGGGCGGGCTATAGGGGGGTGCACTCCCCCCCGGCACGGCTCCCGGCTGGGGCGGGCTATAGGGGGGTGCACTCCCCCCCGGCACGGCTCCCGGCTGGGGCGGGCTATAGGGGGGTGCACTCCCCCCCGGCACGGCTCCCGGCTGGGGCGGGCTATAGGGGGGTGCACTCCCCCCCGGCACGGCTCCCGGCTGGGGCGGGCTATAGGGGGGTGCACTCCCCCCCGGCACGGCTCCCGGCTGGGGCGGGCTATAGGGGGGTGCACTCCCCCCCGGCACGGCTCCCGGCTGGGGCGGGCTATAGGGGGGTGCACTCCCCCCCGGCACGGCTCCCGGCTGGGGCGGGCTATAGGGGGGTGCACTCCCCCCCGGCACGGCTCCCGGCTGGGGCGGGCTATAGGGGGGTGCACTCCCCCCCGGCACGGCTCCCGGCTGGGGAGGGCTATAGGGGGGTGCACTCCCCCCCCCGGCACGGCTCCCGGCTGGGGAGGGCTA